TAACATAGCCCCCACACACTTCGACATCTGGAGAACTGCATAATGCGCCGTCGCGTCTTGGTTATCAATTTCAGTTGAGAAAACAGCATTTGCATTTTATGGGAAACTCATTGTCTAGGTCTAACCCTCTGGCATTTGTAATGCATACCAAGCCAACCGCCAAACAGTTTTAAATTTGCATAAAAATCCATTTTATTAACATTCAAAGGCGATTTCTATCGTCGCCAAATTGAAGAAAAGTAGCTAAACTTGAAAAGGACTCGCCAAAAAAAAAGGGATAGGAAGGGATACGCTCAGCAAACTAAGCAAAAAATGCCATGTAAAATGCTCGGGCTAGCAAAGTGCAAGAAAAATTCCTTTGCACTCAACAAAGAAGAAATAAATAACTTTCGAGTCAGATTAGCCAACTTGTCACGAAATGCAAAATGACATTTAATACCCAACGTTGTCGACGTCGTCGTCGTCCTCGTCCTCGTCGTCTTCGAGCAAACGTTGAGTGCCTCTGGCCGGCGTCCCTGCTGGTGAGACCCGCTCCAAGACGCATGTCGGCAATGCGATACGATGCGACGATATACATGACTGGACTTGACTTGCACTTGGCATGAAAACATGAAAAATTCCTTAGCCTCCAGTGCGACGGACACAATCCTCACGGACTCGCTACGCATGCAGCGTCTATGGAGGAGGATGCCAGACGACGGCGACAGCCAGCAACATTGTTTCGAGCGTAGCGAAGAAGAAAAATGGCTCTGAAATGCCAGGCCAATGCCAGCTATCAGCCAAAAAAAAAAACCAAAAGAAAAAAAAATGGAAAAAGTAATCATTGCAATTTAAAGCGGATAATCTGCACAAGGCTTTGGTGACAAAATAAAAAAAATGAGGGAATTGCCCTAAAAAAAGGGTTCGAGGCTCGGTGGTTGCTATAAAAATGCAGTGAGAATAACAGCGAGACCAACGCGCGCACAATGCAAATATGCTGTCTGTCCCACTGTCTGTCTGTCCGCCAGTCTGTCCGTCTACCCGTCTCTCTATCTGTTTGTCTTTTTGCAGCTCTTCATCTCTGCAACTCACCCGCTCGCTGTGTGCGTGAGTGGACACCATTTGCCATTTTCACACTCGATGCTTTTTCTTTTTTATATTTTTTGTCTCGGCCGCGTGTCGCGTCCATCGTGGGAGCCAGTCATGCAGATTACAATCGAAATGACATGAAAATGTTTAGTGTGGCAGCACTGGCAAAAAAAAAAAAGTATAAGAAAAGAAAAGTAGAAGAAGAACTAGCTGAACGGGAGCGAGCAGTGCAATCGGCAAAGCTAAATGTGTTGCACATTCAACCAACAAGAAATTGGCCAGCGGGCGCACCCGAGGCACAAGACGAGCGCCACTTGCCATTTGAGATAATGTCTGCCACGGCGCCATTTGATGCAAGAACGTGCAAAAGTGCCGCGTCCTCTGCATGTTGCCAATGGTGGGTCCTGTTCAGCCTGAGCAAGAATAATATCTTATTTGATTGCAATGCCAAATGCAATTTAAATATTTTCCGAATGACATTGAAAATGTACGCGCATAACAAGCCAGGCCCAAAGTTGCAGCCAGTGTTGCCACAAAGTTGAACCTTTTTTGATTATGCGTAGAAGAGTGTTGCAAAACAAACTATAAAATGGCCTTGCCACATTTCTTAACTAATTTGCTTTTAAGACAACTTATATGGACATAATTCCCATAAACTTTAAATTTTGCTAATATAATTCAATTAAAAATGACATCTCACTCTATTCACCCTATCCTGGGACTCGAACTCAATCATTTACATAGTTTAAATAATTATGAAATTACTATAAATTTGTATAGCAACTAAATGATTTATGCGTCCCACTGTCAATAAAATGTCCGCCCAGCCGCTATCAAGATATTTAGCTCAGCAAGCACCGCATCGATTAGCTATCACATTGACCATTCAAACAAAGCCCCAGTTTAGCCAGTCAACTGACCCATTTGATCGACAATAACTGAATCAGGCGATTCGCACATGTCGTAAATGGTCTTCGCTGCATGGCAACGGTTGCCTCCTGCCAATCAACTGCAATTAACCTAGATGCGAAACATGCTAACGCTGGCGAAGGCAACAAGTGACTGTGGCACTGGCAACTGGCAAGTGGCATACTAAAAAATCACATTTGTATTTAATTATTTGAAATTAGTACAAGAGCCGCCTGCAGAGTGTACAAAATGACAAGCGCCAAGCGCCGCGCAGGGTTGGAAGCGGGCGCGTGCTGTAGGGAAGCGATAGACAATTTGCAAAAGCATTTAAAATCAAGCAAAAGAGTCAGCAACAAGCACAGCTATTCGCTCCCCAGCACACAGATACAGAGACGGATACAGCTATAGATACAGATACAGATGCAGATGCAGACACAGATGCAGATACAAGCCATGAAAACTGCTGCTGCTGCTGTTGGTGTTGTTTCAGCTAGTTGTTGTTGTTGTTGTTGTTGTTGAATAAACTCAATCCAAGCATTAAATTACCGCCAATGGCGCCAATAAGCACAAACAAATAATCCAAAAGTGCCGGCGGGGGCAGTCAACGGGTTTGGCGTCTGCTTTTCAATACCCTCGTGTTGCCTGCTTTCAGGCGCCTCGCGACTCGCAGCTCAGTGAAATTTATGTGCAAAGAAAATTGTTTGCTTGCTGTCAATAAATATTTTGTGTATTGATCAAAATTGCAAATCAACAGCAACAACAACAAGTACAATGCAAATTATTGTTTGCTGGCAAATGTTTCACATTTGTTTGTGACAAATAATTGAGCTAATTAATTGGCAACAAATTTTTCTGTTATTTCGTAATGCATGCGAAATAATTGACTGAGCTAAATCCGATGGGCTATCAAAATGCATTTTATTTACTGCACACAAATTGGATTATATATATTTCCAATTGGAATAAAGCAATTCATAATCGTATACCATAAAAATGCCAGGATTAGGTTTCATTTGCATTATAAAATATATTTATTTTTTTTTTTAATAGACTTAAGTTGAGCGTTAAAATGTAATGCGATGCGATTATGATATCATATAATTTCACATAATTTATTTTGTAATCATCATTATATTTATTTTCGATTTTTTACTTCCTTTCTGGAATTGAAATGACGCAATCAGAGAGGAAAGTGCAAGACATAATAAGTTTATTACTATCGTTAATGTATCTGCCAGGCGATAGGCAAAACGTCTGCATTTTAGCCAGATTAAAGTCTTTAGTAACTGCCAAGTGAAGAGAAAAGTATTGGGAGTTTTGCGTAGACTTAAAACAATCCTATTCACATCTTATTTCAAGGCTATTCCAGGATATAACCTAGTCGGGCAGTTTGTACGCTTACGTTTTTACTTTGCTATTTTTGTTACATTTGGGCAACATTTGTCATGCTGAATTGGCATTGAAAAATATGCAAACAAATATTTGTGCAAATATTTTGAGCAATTCGTGTTGTTTGGCAAATAACATCAACAGTGAATAAAATTTTATAAATGTCGGCGCGCAGTGAACATTTTTTGAACAACAATTATTTGTAGGTTAGCGGCTGGGCGCATGAGATTTTTCTCTTATTTTGTTCACGCCATAAATCTTGCAGAGCTTTCATTGCGTCATAAATTGTGAATGCCAGGACGAAAAGCAACAACAATAACAACATGAAAATGAAAATGAAAATTGCCAACTACGTGCTCCTGTTCGTGCCGAGGGCGGCCCAAGCAAACAATCAATTTATGCATACATATAAATATTTTCCAGGCTTTACAGTTCCTTTTATTATTATTTTTTCAATATTTAAGCTGGCGCGGACAAAGGACATGCGGCCACTGTCCTGGCCGCTGTTCACCCGGGCATATGTAAATATTTGTTAACTTCATTTGCTCTGAATTAAATATAATTTACATGCATATTTGTTTGACATTCTGCGCACCCAATTCACCAAACACACGGGAATTAAATCTTTTTTGTGCATGCCATGTTGCATGCGCCCTACCTGGCCCTGGAGCATTAGCCTGGACTCATTATAATTATTGTTGACATTTAGCCCGGGACTCAAAAAAAGAAGAAAAAAAACAAAGGAACTGCATGATTCGGCGGCTTAATTCGCGGCCATAATTACACCAGCTAATGATGTGAAATTACTTTTTATCGATTTAATATGCATGTTTGAGTTTCTTCTTTAGTCGCATGCCCCAACAGATGTGTGTGGCATGTGCAGCCAGAATGCATATTTACAGTTACGTGCAGTTAATTGTTTTCCCTTTTGGAATTCATAACAATTCATATTCGAAATTATGACATGACAGCACGACAGCAGTGCGTCATTCGAATGCATTGAGTATATTGAATCAATGAGTCATATCGTGTGCAATCAGATTTTATTTATAGCTAATAAACTGTACATCTTCTAATGCTCCAAATTTCTATCCGGATCAAAACAGACAAATATGAATATACAATCAAAAAGAATGTATTTACTCCCACAATTTTGTTCGAATTTGTTTCCTTTGCTTTGCAAGCAAACTATACTTAAGAAAACATTGCAATGTAATTTATTAAATCACAATAAAATACTTTGACATTAAGGTTAACTTCGGCAATTTGTGTTGGCATTAAACAACACTGACCCACATAAATTATACAGTTGCCAACACGGACGCTCGCACACACATGCACAGTCCACACACATTAACATAAATTTGCGCCGTAATTTATGGAGCGTCGGTGTCGCAACAATAAGATTTCCACTGGCCTCTCCAGTAACAGTCGCAGTCACAGTCACAGTTACTACTCAGTAAATTACGGGCAAATTGATACGAAAGCGAACCTTAATGGAAAACAAATAAAAACACCAAAACTGATGTCCAAATGATTGTTGTTGTCTTTGTAAATCATTCAATTGGGGAGCAATTTATTTACTGTGATGTGAGCTAAACAAAAGAATTTACCATTTATTTAACTATTCGCAGGGACGCTGTAATCGTGATAAACCGCCGTGCAAATATTTTCATCCACCACAGCATTTGAAGGATCAGCTGTTGATAAACGGACGCAATCATCTGGCCCTCAAGAATGCACTGATGCAACAAATGGGCATCGCGCCCGGCCCGCCGGTCATATCGGGCCAAGTGCCAGCCGTGGTAAGTACTTGCAACCCGAAAACCACATAATACTTTAATTGAATCTCCTAAGCGCTGCCAACTGTCCCCCTCCACCTTCCACTCGCCCACTCTCTGATATAGACTACTACCGACTAACTGTTTGCGCAATATGAATATTTATAAGCGGATATCCTACTTCAATTCCATTTTCCCCAATCCTCCCATGACCAGGACTATGAATAACACAGAACCCCCAAAAATGTTAAATGCTATTCAAAATGCGCGAAAATGAGTAGCACAAGAAGTCGAAGCGAGGGACGAGAAAACCGAATATATATATAAAAATACTTATATAAGAAGTTTTTGTCCGGTTCGTCTGGCGCATGCATTATTCATGCCAAGGGGCGGCACTTGCCGCCTTTTTTACGCAGCAAATAGAAAATTAATTCTGAAATAATTTTGAACATGGTTTTTTGAAATGCCTGCCTAAATGGCAGCGACCATTAGCCCGAGCGCTGCTCAACACTGATGTGTGTTGAAAAATGCATGAGGCTTCATTAGCGAGTGTTAAGGGTGATTTGCCAGGGCACGAATTAAAAAGTGAAGTGCTGCAAATGGGACATTCTTTAAATTAAAGTGGTAACAGATACTTAGCTGCGATAAGCTTGACGATAGGTTCTTGACACGATATCTCATTAACAATTCAACACTAAGGGATATGCTCTATGTTAAATGGTGCAATTATAAAAGTCTCAAATGTCATTAGCATTTGATAAGTCTAAAAGATTATCATTACTTAAAGGGGTAATGATAAAGAGCAGGATAAGGCTCTAAGTGAAATCCAAGTAAGTTATCTTTATTGTTTAGCTGCCTTAAAGCTCTTAACCTGAATTAAAGCTGTGAATATTAGATAGGTAGACTTACAGAGCAGATGTGAGTGAGTGGAAAGTGTTAAAGTATATATAACTATAGCTGCTTGTCACTAGAACACCTTCTGACTGATTAACTGCTGATTGATTGATGGCTTGCATTGATGATGATGAATTCAATATTTCATTCTTTTGTGCTCTTCCAGGCTACAAATCCCTACTTGACTGGCATACCAGCCAACACATACAGTCCTTACTATGCCGGACACTTAGTGCCTACTTTGCTGGGACATGATCCGACGGCCGTTGCCTCACAGCTGGGTACGGTGGTGCCACAGACCGTTCAGGTGGCACAACAGAAAATTCCACGCTCCGACAGATTAGAGGTGAGTGACGGTTACTTTATATATATTTGTATTCATTGATTGACTGCAATAGAAGCCAATAAAATGATACATTTATTTGGATTATGCTTTAATTTATGCTTACGTTTATTTCGTTAATCGTTTATCGTTTTATCGTTTATTGTTTATTTCGTACACAATGACAAACAAAATGCCAAGAGAAACGCTTTTCTTTTGACTTGTTTCGATATTGTTTATTTTTTCGCATGCCAATAAATTGAGTTTTTATTATGTATTACTTCTTATAAGACCTAATATTTTAACTATGTATAAAAAATATTGCAACTAAAACAATGTACAGTGTTTTAAGTTCTCTTTAGTTCTGCCAAAAATAAAAATAAAAAAGAAATATATGAAAAATTATAACGAAAAGTAATATTAACAATTCGCTGATAATAAAAATTGATTTGATCACGTTGACACACATTCGTATTCGTATTTGAAAACTTGAACTTTTGTCTAACATCGCAAAATTGTCTTTAAAAAATCGTTCTACTTATTCTTATGTCTGATAAAATACTTTACTCTTCATTTTGATTTTTATACTACTTATATACATATCTATATAAATATGTATTTTTGGTTTCTATGTGATACACTCTTGTACACTTGTATCAAGCTATCCAAGTGTCGAACTCCGGCACAGTTTTTGGTTACAAAAATGCGCTTTACCGAAGCGGCTGCTACCCTGCAAAGCTTACGATAAGCGCTTTCAGAATATACTATCCCAGTGCATTTGTAAATAAAACAAAATAAAACCAGACTACATACAAATTGAAAATTCTGTGCACTTATCCGTATATTATATTTTGTGAATTACTTGAGTTGTATACCTTCCTTTTAGCCAGATACTCTCAGAATAAACTTTTCAATAGGTTGTACACATTCACATGTTATGAGTAAAAGAATCAAAAAATGTTGATATACTTTCTTTGTATTAGTTTTTTAAATTTTTAAGAATGTTTTTGTCTGTTAAGAGTCTGCGAATTGATTTCTCAAAAGTTCTCAATTTACAGTACTGTGATGTAAACTAAGAAATGTTAACTGCAATGTAAGCTAACATTTTTTCAGTTGAGTTAGGCTGTTAATTAGTTTTTTTTTTTTAATTTGGTTTATTCTGAGATAGATTGTACAATACCCCTTCTAGAGCAAACAGAATTCTTGTTTTTACACAATACAATAGTTTTTTGCAGGTCCTCAGCAAATTGAAAGCTTAAACATTTTGATTAAACCCTTGCATTTGTGTTTAGCTAACCCAAATTTTTGCCTTGTTTTGATTTTTGTGTATGTGTTCTTCTGTTGTTCTCAAGTGCAAAACTCAAAAACTAATCGGCTCGCTCAAAAATAACAAAATTACAAAAAAAAAAAGATAATGGCAAGCACTAAACTGTGAAAATTCACAGTAAGTCAAGCCAAAAAGAAAAACCTAATCCAGCTGTCCACTGTTCAACTGCTAACACAGATTGCAATTGGCAGCCGCTAAAACAAAACAAAAAAACAGAAAATCAAGCATATATGTATGTATCTATCTATATACTCACCATATATACGACATCTATGTGCATATATGGAAGCATGCTCTGCAAGCAACCAATTACAACAACTGCAAATCGGCACTAACTTCCAAAAAAATCCAAAAAATAATTAAAAGTTGTTGCGTTCCGCATACTTAACTTTACTTTTGAAGTATACAACAAAGAACTGAACTGTTACTGAATATCCTTCCATTATTTCCAATACACACACACACACACACTACACATACACACACACACAACAAATCTGCAACTTTTGCCACAAAAAAACAAAAACAAAATATAAACAACAACAAAACACCACTTCGCCTATAAACACACACACTGAACCACAACTGCTGCCACTTTTGCTATTGCTGCCCGCCAACAACCAACCAACCAACCAACCAACAACCAACCAACAACAACTACAACAAACAATCTGCAATCCGCAATCTGCAATCAACTGTGCAACCAACACAACAACTACAACTACAACAACAACCACCTCAACAACAACAACTACATCAACAACCAAATACAACGCCGTGTCCAAATCCAAAAATCAAAAAAACCAAAAAAAAACAATCCTAAAAATGTGTTTCCAGGTCTGTCGCGAATTCTTGCGCGGCGCCTGCAAACGGGCCGAGTCGGAATGCCGGTTCGCGCATCCGCAGGAGAGCGTTGCGCGGCACGACGATGGTTCCATAACGGTTTGCATGGACGCCGTGAAGGGCAGATGCGCACGTGACCCCTGCCGCTACTTTCATCCCCCCCTGCACCTACAGGCACAATTAAAAGCGGCCCAAACACGCGCCACCGCTGTCGCTGCTGCAGCTGCGGTATGGCTATTTCTATATTTACTTTTATACTTTCTCTTTCTTTAACCCCCTCAGTCCAACCCCAACCCCCTCCCGATGCCTACCCCACAGCCCCAGCCGCCCAAAATTGCCGTCTCTGTCGCTCGTGTGGCAGCTGTTCACAGTGCGAGAGCGACAGCAATATGTTTTGTTTAATTTGCGTTTTTTATTGCCGCCTAATTTGTCTAGTTTTTTATTTTTGTGCGCGCCAGCTGCTCAAGATTTGCCTTTTATTTTTTCTCAATTAAAATTTACACATATTTTTGTTTTCAATTTTAATTTCTTAATGCAGTTTTTAGCTTAATTAGAGCAACTCACAACATTTTGATTTTCGACTTTTTTCGTTCAACTTAAACAAAGATAAACCAAATGAAACACTTTTACTGCCCCGCACTAAGAAACTTAAACACGCCACAAAGTATGCAATAGTTTTCGCTCTTAGTATCTAGCAAGCAATATATTTATGTATACCAAAGTTAGATTTAGAAGTTTCTAAATGTTTTCAGTTTTCAATCAAAAATTTGCCTTTAATAAGTTATGTTAATCAGCTGTTAACTTAATGTTAGCTTATGATGTTTACGGTTGTGGTAACACAATATTGACTGAATGCTAAGTACATGTAAACTCCATGTTATCAATATGTGCAAGTTTCTCTCTCTCTATTCCGTTCTGCTTATTTAAAGCAAATTTAATGAAAACTTAATGCTGCATGTAAACAATTTAATTAACTTTATGCAAACGTTAGCACAACAGCAATAAATAACTGCAATTTACTCGAGCAAAAAAATAAATAAATAAATTGCGATATTTGATGCTGCGCTGCCAGAGGTCTGCCAGAAATGCATTCAAATTATCCCATACATAAACACTATTTGACACACACAAGCACACATATCGGGCGGATTTCTAAAAACTCAAAGTGTGCAATTTGCAGTTGTAATTTAAATTTAACCGAGTGTGTTTCGTAACTCTCACATATAGTTTTATGCTTAATTAAGAGCTCATTTAGGTGGCATTAAATTTGTTTACTTAAAGCAAATAATTCTAACTAGTGCCATGAATTAAATTATAAATAGTTTAATTGTGTTAATAGACATTTTAATTTATAAATTAAGTTCAAGAGATTCTTGAACTAAGAACTATATTCAAATTTAAAAATTTTATTTTTCGAGCTAGTTAATAGAGTAGAAGCCCGAAATATTTATACTAGAAAATGTTTCAACTGCCTCCCAATTATGATAAATTTAAATAAATGGTTAGCTTAATCTCATACGCACAAGAGAGTGCTACAATAATTGGGTGCCCATCTGCAAATTGTTCAATATTTTACCTGATAAACCAATTTGAAAATCAGCTCAAGCGCACACTGCTCTTTTAGGGCCATTTAAGCGTGTATTTACGCGTTCTTAACGAAATTTTAAGAAGTTCAATAAATATATAAATAAAATGCAACAACAGCAACGCGAGGCAAAATTACATTTTAAACAATTTGACTTTACGCAAGAAAATAACAACACACGCACACCAATAAACATGGTTTATATTTGTGTGTGCGTGTGTGGCAAGCTCATAATCCCAGCCAAACATATACACATATGCAGAGACACAGGAACTGACAGGGATTGGCATTGCTGGCATTCAACAACATGGAAAATATGTTGAAGCTGCACATAAAACACGCCATAAATGTTGATTTTCGTTGGGGAAAATTAACATTTATTACAACGCGTTAAAACTTTGAGCACGCAGCAGTCAGCCAGCCAAACACATACACTCACATAGCCACACGTGGGCGCACGTTCGTGATTGCCCAACTCTCACATGCGCTTGCATGTGTGTGTGTGTGTGTCTGTGCGTGTGTGTGTGCTCGTCCTGCCGCGTCCATGGGGTCCTGCCTATGCGCCGCACTTAATTCGCGACTTAATTGCTTTTGGCTGAAAATTTATTTGACGCTGCGCACAACAACAAGAACAACAACAGCAAAAACAGCATCAACAACGTGTCCTTGTTGCCAGGCTCCTTCTGGCTGTGGCAGTGTTACCCCCCTCCACCACCATCACTCCTCACTTGCCGCTCCAAACATGACACACATAATTGCAGCATAATATCGCATAAAGTGAAAAATTGTTGCAGCATTTTAGGCGTAATTCAATCGAGCTCCAGACCAGGCACGACAAACGTGATTATTGTATCAAATTGTCCTTTGAAATTTTACCAGCACCAACACACGCGCACGCACACACACACAGTCTCACTCTCTCTTTTTTAACTGTTGCTGTCTCTTTTACGCATACGCACCTGGCCAAGGCAGCGCATAATTTTATTTATAGGACCGCGCTTGATATGATTATGTGCTAAAGCAAAAAAATAATATACCTATACATATATATCCTTTTAAATATGTTCGTGTGTGTGTGTGTTATATATTGTTGCACCTGCTCTGAACGTTTAAAATGCATATTAAAATAACGATTTTGTTATTATGAAGTCGTTAAATGTTGCCCTCGTTGTGCTTTCAGCTTGTAGCTAATTATTTATATATTAGCAATTAGTTTTCCTTCCTTGATATGGCAATTAATATGCCATAATCCTTAGACTACATATTAATTAGTTTTATTTGTCGTTTGCTTATGATTCTTGCATTTTATCATTTGATAATGCAACAAAATCTGTCAAAATTTTCAATTTCCAACTCTAGTTTAAATTGACTCAAATTTTAGGCGTTTCTTTTTCGTTTCAAAAATTAAACCCATGTAAGGGATAAAAAATCTTCAAGTTAAAATTTATTTTGAACGTTTCACCCATTCTTGAGAGACAATAATTTAATGCTCAAATCAGAATAGTAAAAACTTAACTGGATTTTACACATACTAATTTTAACTTAAGACCGATGCAGCGCTGCTATAAATAATACCAAAATATCTTTCTTTTTTCATATTTATATATTAACTATTACAACTATAACAATATCATCAAGCTATGACATAATTTAAACTATATGCCAAGCTAGCTGTAGCTTACAATGTTTACCGTTAGCATATCTCGCTATAACTGGTCTACAAACATTTATGATTTATACTATTGTTTATTTTTGTGTACCCAAACCCCTCTTTAGAAACTGTCCCTAGACAATCTATATGTACCTATATCATCAGTATTTATGTATATGTATACCAACTATCCTTGGGGTTATTTATGCATGCGGTCAGTGCTAACGTGGAAAGCAATTTAAGGGAAACAAAATTTCGAATATATTTTATCATATTTTTTTATTCTAAATTTCCACTCTGGTCTGTCCAGTCTTGAACTTTAATGTGCAGCCCCCAAATACTATACAAGCTATCTACTCGTATTTATATCTAAATCTTTTATTAAATGTTGTTACTTAACTTGTTTTACAATACCCTAGTTTTACACACATAATGTTCTTACAACAGCAAAAACAACAGGAACAACATGAACAACAAAAACAATATTAATAAAAAGAAAAATAAATAAACACACATTACGCATACGGCCCGCGAGCCACACACAAACGAAAAAAACCCGCCCAGAGCATAAATTTTAAAGCTAAATTCGTCTCATATTTCGTTTTGATGGACAACAAATTATTTATTTAATAAATTAAATATATTTTATTTACGTTTTGAGTTGTTTGTATTGTGCGTCCTTTGAAAAACACACGGCCCCAATAAAAATCAAAAAGATCGCCTTGCAGCAACAACAAAATATTAGCCATATATTTGAAGAGGCCAGTGGCATGCCCGAAATATGTCAACTGTCGAATCAAAGCGACAATTCGAACTGTGCCTCGCATCCTGCCCTCCTGCTGTGACACAAACAACAGCGCAGCAACCCCAAACTATAATCCTCATGTAAGCGTGACACGAGGCCAGAAAAGAGCACAAAAAAGTAGCTGCCAGCAGGCTGCAGGACATGACCCGCTGTGAGGCATTTTTTTGTGCTCTGACCAAAAATGTAAATGTCAACCTGTACAGGCAGGCAGACAGGCAGGACGCACTGAACGACGACACGGATTAGTCGGCAGGATAACGTTTGAACCGGAAAATTAACTAAAAGCAGAGATTTCCATGCCAATGAATTGTCCAGCGGCAACGTTGCCCACCCTGCGACAGTTTTCAACTGACAATTTTTACGACTATAGTGTGAGATCCTAGGGCTATTATGATTATCAGATCGAGTTGGTGTTTTCATATGAAAGATGCAACAGCTCATCAGAGCTCAGCGCTTATTTTACAGTCGGACTAGTTTCACAAATATAAACAATATTTCTTCTAGACCAGCTGCATCTCTCAAATTGAGCTTGGATACTTTTTTCATATTATATAGTTTTGTTCTACATTTGCCCACTATTATAAAAAAATAGACAAAAGACATCTAAGGAATATAATAATAAATATTCACAATAAACAAACAGAATTTTTTTAAATAATTCGAGTTTAAATGAAGATCTGTAAATAATACAGTGTATTTTCCCTGCGACCTTGTCAGATATATTTCCGCTTTTTTCTGGCTACTCTCCACCACAGTCTCTTATGACCCCAAAAAACGGCACACACAAACGCACAGATACCACACCACACACACACAGACACACACACACATAGGCAGACCACATATCGCCTTGCCCAAGCGAATTAATCCATTTATAGCATTCATTGGCGGTGACATGAAACAGTTCCCAGCAAGGGGAACTGAAACAGCAACTGGCACAACCTGAGCTACGTGTGCACTGCAAAAGACCACAAAACAGAACCCAAAAAAATACAAAAAATAAATAAAAAAAATCCCCAAAAAAAAACCTGAGCTTCTCCCTTTGCGACTCCATTTAAATGCAAATTTTTTGCACTTTTTTGTGTTGAACACCGTGTGTCCGCCTAAAAGTATGTTAAGTTATGTTATGTTTTATGTTTTTTTGAGTTTTTGGTTATTAGCCCAGGCCAACTAGATAACCAGAGAGAGCAACAAAAAATCCACCCCACCCAGAGCCAACTCGATGCCCAAACGCTGTCAACCTCTTGTGTAAATTGCGGTGTTAAACGTATTAGCGTTGAGCTCTCTGGAGTCAAAATTTACAACTCGATCTGCTCGAATGCACTACAAAATGTGTTCTTTACTTTAATACTTATTTATGGCTTTGAGTTAGGAGTTGAAACGAGTATAAAGCAGCAGCAACGATGCATCGGTAGGTATCGATCGGTATTAGGTATCGAATTGGTGTACGAGTACTTTTGCGGTTCAACTCATCGACGAAATGCGAATGTGTGTGTGTACTCAAATCAATTTTTGTTAGATTCATAACTAAATTACAACGAAATATATATTTAAAATAAATAATTCTATTGGCTTACAGCAAACCTATTGATCGACCGTAAAAATGATTTTGTTGCGTTTAACAGCAAATGTTTATAATTTCTAAGTTAGAATTTAAGCTCTTACAATACGTATTTTAGCTACATAATAATATACTTATAATGGGTTTCTTAAAATAAAATATAAAGCTTTTGCTGCTGGCTTTTGCAAGCTTATAAATTTAAAGTATATATAAATATTTAAAATATCTATTTATAATATACGCTTCTCAGCTTTTTATTAACAATGCTTTTTTAACAAAAGAAAAAAACTTCAAATTTTGTTATTCATATTTAATTGTTATATAAACAATTAGCTGGTTTCGTAATTTATTTAAGGTCTTAAAATATGAAAAGAAATCGAGTGAACAATTTACAAAATTATAAAAAAACCAAATTTTGATAGGGTAAAATGTTCTATTGGTTTAAAGTCGACTTAAAAAAAAATCGTTGATTTCTATTTGATTTTACGTTTTTCTTTTTGACTATAATTTTACTTATCATAAAAAACACTCGTACTCTTCTACTATTATGTATTTCATCTGTTCGCCTGTGCCACACTGTAATTGCTTCTACGATGGATGGTATCTACACTCACACACACACACACACACACACACACACACACTCAAAACACACACACACACCTGCCACCTACAAATGCACAAAATTAAACGCACAAAAAATACGTTAAAAATGCAAATATATATATATATACACATACATATATAAATATTTGAAATATGTACGCAAAAAATGCAACAACAACTACAACAACAAAAACCTCAAAAAAATGTGCATATTTATTATAAATGCCAACACCAACGCTGCTTGAATAATTCAAATGGAATTTATGCATATTTAATGGACGCATAATTTAAATGCTTGTTAAAAAAAAATTTTCTCTAAATTCCTTTTAATTGATTTTGCGGAATAATTATTTTGATTTTGATTTCAAAATTTTGCAACTTGACAAAATTATGCACCTACACTGACCAATATACACGCGCGCGCACACACGCACACACACACACAATACACAACACAGAGCTCACCTCTTGCGGCACACCAACAACTCAATCAGCATCAGCAACAACAACAACAACAACAACAGCAACAGCTGCAGAACCACCTCCACAACAACAACACCATCCCAACGGCCGGCGGCGTCGCTGCTGGCACAACAACAACACCAACAGCAACAACAACAACAAACAACGCTGCCGCTGCCGCTGCTGCTGCCGCCGCCGCTGCCGCTGCTGTCATGGGTCATCACACACTGGAAGTGGGCAAGAAGCGGGCAGCGGATCCTGAAATGTTTCCACTGGTATTTTGTTTAATTTCTTTCACCTCTTTTTTATCGTTTTTCCGTTTCTGTTGCGTTTCGTTTCTCGATATTTATTTATTATTATTGTTTAATTTCCTGCGCCTTCTATTTTGATTGAGTTAAGTTCATTATTTCTCATTTTAAGCTCCCTCTTTTAGTGCATGCTTTCAAGCTGCGAATGTGCTATGCAAAAAGAACTGCTAAATCAGCTTAAATGTAATGTAGGGCTAGAACAGCATATCGCTAAATATCTGTCAAACTTTATGATGCATACTTTGTGTTGAATTAAAAGCATTTTATAAATTCAAATTTATGACAATTCAAAAATGCTTCAAATTGTCTTCAAAATAAAATAAATGCCTTTGTCTAGTAATTATCAAAGAATTAGAATTGCAAATGGCAAGCAAAAAATGGTCAGCATACGTATGGGATACAGTTTGAATCCTCTAGTTCAGTTTGAATCCTCTAGTCAACAGTTCTGGAAAATATCACTCTTGTAGGATAAAGTCAAAGACCCTATTTTCTTGAAATATAATTGTCAAAAATTCCATCAACATTTTAAAAATCCGCACGTCTTTTAAAATTTTTAACTGATTTGCAATGAAACTTTATAAAAGTTAAAGTTGCTAAAAATGTAATTAAATAAAAAAGAAATACATTAAATATTTTTCCAATTTTTTGAATGTGATATTATTTCCCACATCGGACAAAAGTATGCAACAAAATTAAAGTTGAAATAGATTTTGGTATAATGAAATTTGCAAGTTCTTGTCGCTGTCAACCGAACAATCGCAAATAACCGCCTCACAATTACCCACTCACTCGCTTACTCAGTCAGCCATGCATTCACCCACTCATTCCATTCACTCACGCATTCACTTACACTGAAGCACTCATTCACCCATTTACTCGCTAATTTCACATGCACTGCGAAGTGCCATCAATTAACGTTTATAATCAGCGCAGCCCTCAAGTCAGACAGACAAGTCTTCCAGCCATTCAGTCAGTAAGTCAGCGAGCATTTAATTTGCAAAATGAAGTAATTATCTGGCATATCAAAAGCGCAAACACGCACTACACAACACTGCGAACACACAAATGCATATTACTAATCAATTTCCCAATACTACATGTTGCCCTATTGGACTCTGGCATCGACAGCTTCCACTTGCAATCATCGTTTGTTGCCGTGTTGCGTGCCGTCTGTGGCAGCAATTAGGGGTAGCATATGATAAATCACAATCACATACACTCACGCACTCTCTCACTCACTCACCTGGGCAAGTGTTAATTAAAATGATTTAACTGTTAATTAGCCAAGCCCCAAAATGAATACACTCACTCGCATTTGGCTGCATGACGAACTGTTTCGACGGTTTCGACTGGTTTGACAGCTCTTCCTGCTTGGCTACGCTTTTTTATTTTATACGGCAACTGCAGCTGCTAGTGCATTCACTAGAGTGCCAGCCCTGCTTAATTGCTTAAGTGCTTTTCCAGGTTAATTAGCTGCGGGCTGTAACCGAAATTTGCTTGGCTTTTGTGCATTTTGTTTAATCTTAAGTCTTGGCAAACTGGAGAACAGTTTTAATGCCTGCTCCTAACTTATGTATTGTATTCTTCGTATGTATCAGATATTGTATGTATTATAATTACATAGAGCTTAGGTTAACTTATTACACATTCACATCACGCTAGTCTAAGTCTATACATATATATATATATATTCTCTAACTTACTGCTAATATGAAAACAAATTTGTATTTTGTATATTTATGCTGAATATATTCACTAATTTCATTTGTGTTCTCTCTCTTCTTCGTTTGTTTTTCGATTCCGACTTTCATTTGTTTTCTGTGTCTCTATGTTACTTGTTGCCAACAATTCAAAACCAAAATTAAAAAACAATCAATTATCGCATATATTGAATATATATGCACCAACAACAACAACATCAACTACAACAACTACAACAACAAATGTCTGCTAACCCAATTATGCCAAAAAATGAAATATTACCAAAAAAAAACAACAACTGCAACAAATTCATCAATCAACAATGCGTATCATTCAAATTAATCATGAAATGAAACAATTACTAATACCGAATTACGATCATTATGGAATATACAATCATGAAAATAATAAAAAACAATGACAATAACAATAATAACCATAAATGTGCACAATTACCAAAAAGATGGATGTTAAAACGGTTGGTTCATTTTACTATGAAAACTTCGTAAGTACTCCAATGAAAATAAAAAATGTAACATACAGATAAATGAACAACTATCCATCCAGTATTATAATACTACATATATAGAAGACCACATAATATAAACCTATAATTACTTAATAAACAATTTAAGCTGTGTTTCTTAAAACTGCACAAGCAAAGTAGTGTTGCAAAACGATCGACAATAATAAGCACATCGATTTCGTTTTATTTTTAAATTTCTCTTTGTATATAAAACATTTACTTTTCACTTAAGTGACAGGAATACAACGTTCCAGATGTTTGGATATAGAAAGACAAGCAAATTTTTGTAGAAAGAACTTCTATTTAAATCTATAGATAGTGGCAAAAAGATTCGATGGCATTTATTTGAAAAGCGTCTATCGATATTTTATCGATCAAAAGCTCATTCGTTAGTTTTACAGCATTTTTTCATAAAAATACATAAGGAATAAAATAAACTTTTAAAGTCCAGACTTACAAAGCTTTTAAATGTTTGTAATTTTGAACAATAAATATCATTTATCGAAAAGCGATAATTTTTTAAGTAGACAAGCTTAAATTTAGCATTCGATTTTCGATTACTTCTTTATCGGAATCTTAAGAAACACAGCTTATTTAAAATAAACGCAATGCATACTTTAAACAAGCAATTGGCCTATTTAATAAGAATGCATGTATTCAAATCAAAATTCCACAAGCTCACACATAAAATAACTTAATCGTTATAAACTAAAACAAATATTAATTAAAAAAAAGAGAAAAAAACCTCAATTATCGTATGAAAAAAACTGCACATATTCGGTGATAAAAATTGGTTCAGCATGGGTCAGCTTAAGAAATTCAACTTAACCGACAACAAACAGTCTGTGAAATGTGAAAAATTTCAATTGGCCGACGATATTGTTTAGTTTTAAGAATTCAGCTGTCCTTTGCTGCAGCAATATCCCACACAGAAATATCCTTGAACATCTCACATGCTTTAATCGCTGGCTGAGCAAAGCTTTCGTAGCTTTTTGGAAAGCACATTAAAAGCTCTCACTCTTGAAATGCACGCAATTTGTTTACGTTGCCTTTGCCAAATCTTTGAATACTTTTCAATGCTATTTTAACTTATTTTTTTGGTTTTGATTCGATTTGAATAGTTTTGGTTTATTATTGGATAAAGCATTTACCATAATTTACACACATTGGCAAAAGTTTGAGAAAATTGAGTGTAAAATTAAAGAATGGACAAAATTAAAATCCCAACTTGAGCTCGTTTGTAAGCTATTTATATATATTCATTATATACTATTATATATGTATGGCTAGAGTGCAACTAGGCTAAGATTAATATGTACTTCATGACAATTATACTAATCCATAATATATTGTGTTCCTCTCTCTCTCTCTCTCTCTCTCCCTCTCTCTCTCGCTATTTTTTTGATTTTCATAGCAATTCTCTGGCATGGTACCGTTTAAACGTCCAGCTGCCGAAAAGTCTGGCATTCCAGTGTATCAACCCGGTGCGACAGCCTATCAACAATTAATGCAGCCCTACGTGCCAGTGTCATGTGAGTATCCCCCACAACAACAACAACAACTACAAGCAATAAGTAGCGCCATAACAACAACAACAACAACAGCAGCAACAGCAGCCAGTAATAATAATAATAATGCTGTAACTGTAACTGCTATGACTACCAATACCAATACCAATACAAATACCAATACAAATACAACAACACCAACAACAACCACAGCTACTAATCATAATAATAATCATGATAATCAAGTGCTAGCTAACGATTATGATGCGGATCATGATCAAGAAAATAATGACACAACAGCAACAACAGCTACAACACAAACAAACACAACAGCAACAACAAACACAGCTAACGATTGTAATACAACAACACAAACAATTACAACAACAGCAGACACTGCAACAGCTAATGATACAACAGCAACAATCACAGACACTGCAACAACAACAGCAACACATGACCCAACCACACCCCCAACAAATGGTAGCTCTAGCCCCCCACCCACTGAGACAACAGGCCTTTTGGGCGATCCCATGACCCAAGCTAATGGCGACAACAACAACTATTTGTCATATTTAAACAACAATCTAAAATCGTTGAATGGCGACGAGCCGCTCAACGATGCTGAAAATAGCACCAGCAACAGCAACAACAGCAGTAACAACAGCAGCAACAACAGCAGCAACTCAGCAGCAACAGCAGCAGTTGCTGTCAGTGCTGCAACAGCAGCAGCAACAGTCGATGCCGATTCCATTTCCTATATACAGACCCCGCCCCAGCGCAGCTATGCGCCCAAGCAAAATGGCAGCAGCAGCAGTGATGCCTATCAGCGCTATCATAATGGCCACAGCAGCGGCATTTTGCCCACGCCCACCACCAACAGCAGCAGCAGCAGCAGCAACAGTTGCCCCTCTGCTGTGTCCTCGGTGGCGTCTTCGGTACAGCAATATCAGCGTATGAGCTACGCAATGCCCCCATACAGCTATGCCAGTTTGTACAGCGGCTATACAAATGCCACGCCCATTGTTAGCATGGCCAGCAGCAATATGCAAAACAGCTATGTGCAGGCGCAGCAGCAACAACATCAACAGCAGCAACAGGCTGCTCAGGTGCAGGCGCAGGCGCAGGCTCAAGCTCAAGCTCAAGCTCAGGCTCAGGCCCAGATGGCCTATGCGCAACAGGCTTATGCCGCCTATGCAGCTGGTCTTAGCCCCGCGGCCAGCTATTATGCCGATCCTGCCGCATTGGCCAAGGAGGTAGCCCAAAAGAACTATGCCCTTAAGGTGGCCAATGCTGCTGCCGGCAAGCCCGTCTCCGCTGCCTCCGCAGCCGCATACACGGGCATGACGCTCAATAAGAGCTTTGGGGCCGCTGCGGCAGCCCCCCAGCCGGTTCCACAACCACACGCACAGCAGCAACAGCCACAGCCCATGTCCATGGCCACGCTGCTGCAAATGCAGGTGCAGGCTCAAGCGCAAGCTCAGGCCCAAGCCCAGGCTCAGGCCCAGGCTCAGGCTCAGGCACAGGCTCAGGCGCAGGCTCAAGCCCAGGCGCAGCTGCGTCAATATGGCTCCTTGCCCAACTCGGGTCTGTCCACGCCCGTGGCGCCCGGCACTCCGGTGCGTACAGCCAGCGCCGCCGGCTATTTGTCGACAGGCTCTGCCGCGCTGTTGCGTGCACCCGGCGCCGCTGCGCCCATGCAAATGACTGCCAGCCAGCAGCAGTATGCCGCTGCAGCGGCTGCTGCCCAAGGCTACTTCTATCCGGGCATGATGACCGCCGCGCCCACAGCTGCCGGCGGCGGTGGCGGCGGCTATGCCTATGCTATGCCCAACAGCCAAGCGGCGGCTGCAGCTCAACAATATGCAGCAGCAGCAGCAGCTGCTGCAGCTGCGCAGGGCGGGGCACAGGGCAGCGCCATGGTGCTGAATCCCTACAAGAAAATGAAGACCTCCTAAGCAGCTGAAACAGTCACTACCCAAACACAGAGACTCGAACGCAACTGTACTTAATAGGCGTGTTGGTCCATTTATTTTTAGTAGTAACTATAGCATGTAGTACACATCGAAGACGTAAGATTATGTGCCTCAGTTTTAACTTAATTTATACACTAGGTCTCGTAATAGATAGCATTATATTTAGAGTGTCATAACGTGTCATTTTTAAAAAAAAAAAAGGAACTGCACCATGACAAATCCCAAATTCAAGTCAGATGTACACACAAAAACCATACACCCACATGCAAACACAACTACACACTAAGGAAGATTTTTAAAGTGGCCTGTAAAAGAAATGTGCTTAAAGCTACTTAAAGCTTAGTCATCAACAGCATTTGCAATAAAAGAAATCAAAGCTACAACTTTTAAAAACTTTGAAAGCTTTCGTGAATATTCACGCGCTTAAATGAGCTTTCATTAAGTGCAATATGCTTGAAAGCTGCTTGCCCCCCAAGCGATCCTCTTGCCCCGCTTACTTAAACACACACAATGCAAGTCGCGGTTTGCAAACAGTATGTCAAATTTTCCTTAGAATTTTTTATTAAACAATTTTTATGTTTTAATTAGACGCAACAAACAAAGATACACAAAACATAACCTCACTGTGACTTGAGCTGTTGCCATTTTCATAGCATAGGCTAAATAAGAACGAAGCTTTTAAAGCTAAAACGAAACTTTTTCATTATGTAGTTTTTTAAGTTAAGTTCCTCTTTGATAGCGTTTAATGAGCCACTAACTTTAACACAAAAGATCATTAAATAGAAACGGAAACGGAAATGGAGATGGAATTGGTAACGGCAACTGCAACTTGGTATAACGAAGTACTGTGATAGCTTTGCACAATACACACACACACACTCTCACACACACAAGAAAAAGCTTACTTCACACCCCTTTCCCGTACATGCGAGTCAGTTAATCGTTCCTATAAAATATGCCATTAGATAACAGGGAGAAGACAAATTAAAAGAAATTGCTGCTAGGTTCAGTTGTGTCTGCGCTTGTTGTTGGGCTGCAAAAGCTTTTTTATGCCATAAAGCTAACGTTGCAAAAACTCTTTCACGTTCTGTCTACCTCTCTCTCGCTCTCACTTTGTCTCTATCTCTCTATATAGCTACTGTATAGTTAGCTAGTTAGTTAGCTATCGTGAATGCTGTTGTAATTTTAATTGTTTAAAATTGTTGAGCAACGAACATGCGTAACGAATATTGCCTAGTTATAGAATATACCTATTATATATACCTATTATACACAAATACTATACATGCTGTATGCTGCTAATATATATATAAATATATATATACATATATACGATATACATCAATACTATGTACTCTAGCTGTTTGCACACACCCCAAATACCCAACACCCGAAAACCAATCCACACTCTTTGAACATGTCGAAGTTCGATCTGTAAATCGTTTAGCTTTCATATAATCAACACACTCACACACACCCACACACAGACTCATACACCCTTGCTATAAAGCGCCTTTTACTAACCAATAAACCGAATTAAAATCAATATTTTAAGTCACCATCACAATCACAACTCTCTCTCTCTGTCTCTTTGCGATTCACTCTTACCTTGATACACTCACACACCGTCACACACACAAACATCCACACCTCAAATCATATTCAAAAATGTTAAGCCATCAAAATTATGTTATGTTATTTTAATGTTAATGTTTTGTTCACGATTTGACTCCTATGTTGACTATTAAAAGAAAATACAAAACTATGTACAATTTTCGTTTTCCCTATATACATTTTGCTCTCTATCTCTTGCTCTCGATGTATTATACATGTTTTTTTTTTGTTCTGAATAACTTATATATATACAATTTACATACATGTTATGTATACATGATGTTTGTTTATAAAATAAAATTGATGACAACAGAACTATGTTTTTAATCTTAGATCTCGTGTGATTTTTCTTTATTATGTTTTTCTATGTAATCTTTACGTTATATAATTTATGTACTGACAATTATACAAATTTCTTAAATGTAGTTTATAGATTTTATGTGTTTTTCTTGTATAGTAATAGGAATATACCTAAAAGAAAAGAAAAAAAAGAAAAATTCAAAAAATTTGCCACAGACTTGCGCACTTTATGTCTTAGCCACATATTTTTAACGCTCTTGGCGCTCGAAGTTGATAGATTCGAACTTTTATTATTATTATTATTACCTATACTTATACTACATACATATATATACTTATAATCTCTGTAATATTTTGTTTTAAATTACGTTACATCGAAACAAATATATATATATATATATATCTCTAATGTTTAATGACAATTTAATGTTTGCCACTAATATTAATTTAATTGTCGATAGTTCTTTGATTAATGTTTATTTTTGAAATACCGTGTGTGTTTGATTTAAAATATAGTTTGAACCTTACGAAACAGAAATAAAACTACTTTATTGTGTGTTGGTATTTATTTTGGTATTCACTTATCTTGTTCTTTCTGTTGTACCGCTTTCCACACATATTACTTATTGATCTACTATATATCTTTTCAAATTCTAAGCAGAACACACGCCCCTTTTTCTTAAAAAACTTCACCCAATCAACACATGCGCCACATGCCACTCGCCACTTGCCACATGCCATATGTAACGCATTTTCACATGCCGCGCTTCTCGGCAGAGCAGCACTTTTCCAGCTTCCTCCTAAGTTTGTGTTCACTTCGCGCCTTTCTAAGCTTCGTTTTGCCTATGCCTTAATCTAAAAAACTGAATACCTTTTAATACCTATATCTCCCATATAAACAAAACACGTTCTGTCTGCCTTGACTGTCTGTGTAATGCTTCAAATCTTTTTGCTTATTTCATTGCCCAACCAAAAAAAATATATATATATATATAAAATAAAAAAAAAAACTAGATTTAGTGACTTTCTCTATGTTTAGCTCCTAGATTAATGGCAAGCAAAACTGAATACGCTAACCAAATAATATTTCGTTAATCGGTAGAAACTAGCTGTAAAATCTGAAAACAATACACA